AGTGTCTAGGCATTAAATTGTTTAAGATTTTATATTATCTGCCCTACAAGTCTTCAGGTATATTTAGAACATGACATTTTCCAAAGAGGTCAGAAATATTTTTCTCTGCACATTTCAAAGCAGCTTAAACACAACCATGTTTCCTTCATTCAACAAACATTTATTGCATGTTTGCATTTTAAACAGAAATGGAAATGTGTCACCCCTCCTCAATAAGAGTTTTCTTTGCCACCCCACTTCCTAGACCCTACTTGTGCCTTTTAGGCTCTGGATTATGGTTGGAGGACAGGTCATGGCTCAGGCAAGGATGAGATTAAGATTAAGGATACCCCAAGACACTGCAGGCAGATGGACTAGAGCCCTGTATACCTTGCAGGGCCAAGAGCTGCTGCCATGGGCATATCTGCCAAGAGCCTGGCTGGGCCACCCTGCCAAGGTTTGTAGCCAAGGAGGTGCCATCTGTTCTCTAGAATCTGCAGACATCCTGTTTTCATGGAAATCTGCACACTCCCCCACCTAGCACCTTGGCCTTCTGCAAGGCCCAGGTAAATGCAGAAGCAGATTCCTGGGCTCCCTCCCAATCTCCAGCATGGTCCTGTTTGACCTACTGTCCAAGAAACAAATTCCTCAGCCATCTTTTGCCTGCCCTGCCTCTCAGCCATCTCTTTTCAAGGATCTGGGTGTGATCTTCCCAATGAAGCTCACCTCCTGTCATCCACCACCTCTGGATGCCTCTGGTCCTTTGGACACACACACACACACACACACACATACAAATCCCATCACAACTTCAACCCACTCTCCTCCACATTCCTATTAGAGAGCCATAGCAGCTGCACACAGCACTTACCCTTTTTCTACCTGCCAAGGGTTTTCTTTCCCTGACAGTTCACTCCTTCAGTGTCAGGTGAACCTGGGGTTGGCCTTCAGTTAAGAGGGTATGGTTAATTCTGTCTGGAAGCATCTTCTGTTCAATCTCTGCCTAACTTCCAGCATAGGTGGTCCTGTCCTTTCAGGCTGAGAAGTGAGGCAAACATGAAGCCCTGGGCCATGTTTGGAGAAGGGGAAACAGGTGTGATACAAATGCAGAGCTGCCTGAGAGTAGAGAGACAAAGGCTGCCTTCCTTCACATTTCTGGGCTTGGCATTCCTCGTCCATACACCTGGTTCAATCTCACTTTGCACCATTGTGATGGCAGAAGTACCCACAATCGCAAACCATTCCTGTTTTAATATTGGTTACCGCCTCCAGCTCTGGACCAGACACTGTGCACTTTACATATGTAATATTATTCAGTGAGACGTTTGATACATTATATAGAATTCCCTTTCTTCTGTAGAATGTTCTATTACTTTCTTACCACTCTCTTGCAGTTCTGACCTCAAAAACTTAAGATCATACTAGTTTATTCCACGAAATCAGTCAACTTATTTTTCTTCTGTCCCCTGGCACTGGTGAGTGTCCCCATCATACCTCCAGGGGCACAGATGATATCTCCTGATTTCTCTAAGTTCACCCCACTCTGCCCTGTGCCCATGGCTCAGGGCAAGAGGCCTGGAGACACATGAGAACTCAATGCTGCTTGGGTGACTAGGAGAGAGCCGAGCAATAGCCACCACACCTGCATCGCTGGATTATCAGACTGGTCTGGGTCTTGGAGGTCATCTCTTTACCCTAGGATGGAAGCCAGACCCAGAGAGGGGAAGACATTTGCTCAGGTTCCACAGTGAGCTCAGGCATAGCTGGTCCTAGAGTCCCAGATATCTATGTGTTGGAAAAGTTAAAACAGAGAGAGAGAGAGAGAGAGAAGAGAGAGAGACTCCCTGAGTCCCCTGACTGAGCCCATCACTTTCCCCTCTTGCCTGCACAGCCCTCCCCTCCCCCACCTTCCAAGCTGCCAAAGGGTCCATTTAGCTGGCGACAGAGGGTGGACGGGTGGGCGGGCCAGCTTGGAGAGCCTAGGGTAATTGCATGTGATGAGAGCTCCCACAGCCTTTGTTCCTGGGAGCAATTGTACCGTTGGGTTGGCATTGGCGTTGTGCTCAGAGGTCTGTGTGCACTTGGGAGCTGGTGCCCAGAGACCTCACCCTTCCTTCCTTCTGCCACCACTGACCCAGCACATACTTGTCCTCCCAGGAGTCACTAGCACACAGGCTGAGCCACTCCTTCTTTTTCTTTCCTGACCTCTGAGTGTCCCTGAGGTGAGCAGTACCATGGAGGCCAGAGTGCCCTGGGAGCACCAGGAGTCAGGGACCTCAGTTTCACAGGGAGCCCTTCGTGGTGCACATGCACTCAGTTGAACATACATGCACATCCTCGGGGGAAGGACCTGGGGCCTGGAGTTGCTGGGGCATCTTTCTGCTCTGTGGGTTATACACGCCCCTGGAAATGGGTAGAATGCTAAGGGTAACTGGCCTCAGGCAGTCCAGTGTCCTTAAGGACTCCTTCCTGCCTAGGTCTGCACAGGAGCTGCTTATACACATGTTCACATGCCCCTGGGGTGGGTGAGGGCTGCAGGGCTCTGTTCTTCTGAAAGAAGAAACAAGCTGGGAGAGGGTTTGCTTAGGCCTCTGGATGGGCTTTGAGGCCATGTATGACCTCTGTTTCTTGGTCCCATAGATTGCAGACAGACCAGGAACCAGGCCCCCTACCCCAGGGCAACTGGGCCCTTGATGGCTACTCCAGCCCTCCCAGCAGGACTGAGGACAGCTTCTCCTGCATCGGTAAGTGCTTTGAGGAGAGACTTCTTCCTGGATAGGGGACACTACCTAGAATGCTCCTTACTGATCACTTGAAAGAAGTGACCTGGGCCTAGTTCCCTACAGATCCTGTTTTTGAGGCAGAGTTTTGCTACATAGCCTAAACTGGCCTGAAATTTGATCTTTCTATATAGTCTAGGCTGGCCTCAAACTTGAGATCCTCAGTTTCCCAAGAGCTGGGATTACAGATGTGTGCCAGCAAACCCAGGTGGGGTCCCTCTCCTGTAATGAGACCCCCACCCACCCCGTGAATTGCACTTGGAGTTTTCTTCATGCTTGATTCAATCCAGGGTTGGTCTGACAAACACAAGAGCATTTCAGGGTCAGGATAGGAAAGTGGCGAGTGGGTGCATGTTTTCAGAAGCTCAGCTTGTGGGAATCACTGTAGGTGTCATGTGTAAGGTCATAAAAAAAAAGGTAATAAGCCAGGAGTGGGGTTCAGGTTCTGAGCAAAGCCTAGGTTCAAAATGAAGGAACATGAGCCGGGGAGGCAGTCCAGTCTACCTCCACTTCCAGGACCACTTTCAACAGGCCACTCCCACACATGTCCCCTTCCTTGTGTCATCCTGCAGTCACCATATATCACCTGGTGTATGTATACTCCAGACACGTAATATTTATCAAGAAGTCCCTTGAGACTTGAATGCAGTGATGTTCTTTTGGGGCAGAGATATTGCTTGTTTCTGACACATCCTCATGTGCTCAGTGTCTCTGAATGAATGAACAGTGAGTAAATGAGTGAGCGCCTTGGGTACCATGGGGCAGGTCCTAAGATGGCCAGGTTCTAAACACTCAGCAGCATTTTGGATTGTGTGCTGACTTCTTGTTAATTAAAAAAAAACTTAGAAACTAGCAATGATGCATAACATAGGTATAACATAAGTATACACCATAGGGAACCAGTTCTATCCTTTAGTTTCTTGGGCCAAGGAAATTATCCCTAGTAAAGTAACGACCTTGCTTTTGTGCATGTTGTGCTGGGGATGGAACCCAGGGCCTTGCACATGTTAGGTAAATGCTCCACTGCTGAGCAAAATGCATACACCATTATGAACTTGCTTTTGGAAGATCCAAGATGGTTCAGAGGGTTGATCTTACAGCTTCACCTCAGTGACCTTGCTCCAGTAGGCAAAACTGGAGCTTAAAACACAGCCTGACCCTGACAATATTTGGCAGCGATAGCATGCTGGCCAGGTGGTCAAATATTCCCCTTGTCCTGTGAGCTGGCCCTTTTGAGTAGCCCCTGGAAAGGTAGACACCAGGGATCTTGGGGCCACTGTGACCCTGGGAAACAGAGCAGCTTCACTCACTCCTCATGGCAAAACTTGCAGTGCAGAGATGGGGCAGGGATTGGGTGTTTAAAGGGTAACCCATCCCCTCCCACCATAAGAACACATGTAGGGGTACTGGAGCATGGCAGGGGACAAAAAGAAACCGAATTTCACTGGCACTGACAAACCATCAGAATTAGAATGTGGTAACCAGGAAACTATGTGAAACTCTATTTTTACATTTGCAGTTTTGTTAGCATAATGGTTTCCTTATGTGTTTGTTAGGCTAACGACCTCCATCCACCTAACCAGGCCTTTGGTCCTAATTATTACACCATGAGCTGGGGAGAGGACTTTTGCTTTTCACAACTGTGCAAACTGGCACTAGGAATCCCCCCAGAGCATTCAGCTGGAAGACCACCCTTGCCAGATAGCTCTGAAGGTGTTTGAAAGGTCACAGGTTGAACACTCTGTGGGGCAGAAAGCCAGTGAACTCTGGAGGTGGGCTTCACACAGAATAGGGAGAAGCACTGGCTTATTCCAAAGCACCGAGGGAATGGGAGCAAAGTTCCTGGTGCTGTTTCTGCTCTGGTGCTTGTTAGTCGTCATGGCAATCCATCTTTGCTGAGGATACACTGAGCTCTTTGATGGCCTGGATGGGGAGAGGGATTTAGGATTTGCCTTTTTTGTGATGGAACCCCCACTCTTCTGAGCTTGAAAGAAACAGAGAAGAGAGGAAGTGAAGGATTCTACTTTATGCCGACTCCCTGAACTCACACAGGACATGACATGACTCTGACTCGCTCATTTATGTATTCTTTTATTCAACCAACAAACCATCAGTGAGTGTTTACCTTGTACCAAACACTGTAAAAGATGAAGAAAACGGACCTTCCTTCAGGAAATCCACCGTCTAGGGACTCACTCTAGGATTCTAGAGAATTTGTTGGTATCCCAGGAGCTCAACCTGAGGCAACTAGTCAGTCCTGCCTCCCTCACTGGATCTTGAAGCATGAGGGAGCACTTAGCCTATTCCCCACTTGTTGTGGAAGAAGTGGGTGTCTTGGAGAGTACTGTGTCACATAACCATATCATTTGCAGAATCCCACACTGTCACTTCAGTTATTGATGATGCTATTTTCCCACACCAATCTGTAGACAACAGGGGTCAGGGGGTTTCTTGAAGTTCGGATTTTCCCCCTTCCAGCCCATTAACTAATCCATGTTTGGTGAGTGAGTAAGTGAGTGAGGATTGAGGAATCCAAAGTAAACAGTCATGGAGTTCACACACCCTCTATGCATCTGATGTTACTCTTCCAGCTGAAGAGCAGTCACCAGTCTTTGCTCTCTTCCCATATGGCACTCACGGGCTGGTAGAGTGGCTCAAGTGATAAGAGCACCTGCAGAGCAAGTATGAGGCCCTGAGTTCAAACCCCAGTGCCACCAAAAAAAAAAAAAAAAAAGTACCATATGGTGCTCTCTGGCCTCCAGGCTCACTGCATGAAGGGAAGGACGGGGTCCTTGAGGGGGATGGGAGAAGGCTGCCTCCCACCCACCACTTTCTTACTCTTCCTGGACACTGGGAATAGTCCAAATGAGGGTTTATAATCCTTATATAGCAGGAAGAGAATTTCCCATAAATACCTGCCTCTATTATGGGAGTGTTAGGGATGGCTTTCAGATGCCCAAGAGGCTGTCCAAAGCCAGCTGTTCCTTCTGCCTCTGCCCTGGGGCAGGTATGGAGGAATCCAGCCCACAGGTGTTTGTGTGTGTGCCCCAACCCTCCCCTTAGCCCACCTGGGTCTTTGGGGGAGAGCCCAGCACTGGGTCCATCTGCTCTCACTCAACTCCAGGCCCTCCCTGCACCGGCCTGTGCAAATCAGATCCTAATTTGGATAGTCAAGGAAGTCAGGGCTGACGCTGCCATGTGCCCACATGTGTGAGGCTGTGTGCAGGACTGGGAAAGGTCGCCTCGAGGTTTACACAGATTCCTTAATTACTTCCACTTTGTGGCGTGTTTAAATGAGCGCTAAGCGGACACATAATGAAGGGATCTTTTCTCATCATAACATGTGTCACTGGAGAACAAGCCATCGCCTCCTCCCTGCCGTCTCACACAAGGGTTGACATATATAGAATGGGAGGGGCAGTGTGGAGTTTGGCCTCATGCTGGGGTTGTTTTACTTTTCCTCCTCTTTCTTTTCCCTTGTGGAGCTGACTCCATCTTTAAGTCACAGGTTGTTTGTGTCTTGTGGACAGGGGAGCAAGGATGAGTCCTTACTCTAAGAAAACTTGCCTATTTGTTATGACCTCAGCTGGGTAGAACTAAGGAATGATAACTGTACTCTTTGGGAGAGGAGTTTGTTCTGGGCTCCCAGGTGGGCTGCAGCTCAGAGGAGTAAGTGGAACGTCTAAGAACACAGTAAGTCAAAGCTCCCATGAATGTTATAGATCACTCCAGTTTGGCCTCATTTTCCAAGGGGAGAGATGAGACTCAGAGGTAAGAATAACTGGCTCAAGATTGATGGGGAGTTGGCAGGTGACTTGAAGCCAAGACCACTGCCTTCTCATGCTCCACACTCTAAAATAACCAAATGCTAATAATGACCACTGTTTACTGAACACCTTCTATGTGCAGGGCACAGGCTAGATGTTTGATTCATGAAGTTCTTTGTGAACACATTCTGCAGCTCTTTAAGGTGATATTATTATTGTTGTTACAGATGAAGAAATTCAAGCTCAGAGAAGTTATGAAAAATTGTGTCTGAAGACACACAGCTCAGGGACTGTACCTGGATTGCAGCCCAGTTTGTCTGAAAGTTGTCTTCTTCTTCTCCCCCTCCATGGCTTCCCCTTTGCTGCCAGGCCTCACCGCAGTAATTGCACACTGCCCAAGCTGAGCTGGGCCTCGCTAAATCTCTGCCAAGGGTTGGGGAAGAAAACAGGGTCAGGGAGCCACAGTCCCTACCGATATCTCCCTCAACTCCCGCAGTCCCTAGGATGTCACTGGCATCTCTGTCACTCCAGACCTGTGTCATTTCATGCCGACTTCACACGACTGTGTTCCCTGTCCTCTGGGGACTTCCAGGCCAAGATGAGCCTGACGTCCTAGCCATCCGTGGAGAGAGGACATGAAGACAATTGACTACAAAACAGAACAAGTTCAGGGTGGGTGATATTAGCCGTGTTGTTATTCAGTGCCACTGGGGGAACAGGAGGCTTCAGAGGGTGGGGGTCTCTGGAGACCCTTTTTTGGATAAACAGAGCAGCCATCTGGGACTAAGTAGGCTTCCAGGAGTTGGGATGGGAGATTATAATGATAAGCAGCTGCCACTTATTGTGGCTTTCTATGAACCAGGCATTGTCATAAGTACATTTAATCCTTCTAACAACTGCATGAGGCTTGGAACCTAACTCCTTGGCTGGCATCACAGCTCCGTCACTTGCTAGTTGTACAGTGTTGGACAAGTTATTTAATCTCTCTGTGCCTCTTGTTTCCTTCATTGTAATTGGGGATACTAAGAATACCCTCCTCTAGGAGTTTTGTGGAGATTAAATTACAGCATAGGTAAAGTGCTTAAAAGAGGGCCTGGTGCACAGTGACTGCTTAATACATGTGCAGTTTTGTTTGTCTCTGAGGCAAGTGCTGTTATTGTCCTGCCCACTCTACAGATGAGAAAACTGTGGCACAGA